GATACTGGACAGGGTGATCCCTTCAGAATGTCTACATTTAAGCCTGATTTGGAGGATGTAGAGGATTGGTTTAAAGCTATCTATAAGACTTTGGATATTCAAGAGGAAAAGGTCTAGCTTTCCAGTGGGTATTCTCAAAGACACTATGGATTAAAAAAATGTATGTGATTCTTAAGACGGCTTGGGATTCAGCTCTTTCCCACAACCTGTGTTGCCAGGAATTTGGACTTCTGGCTTTCTCAGTTAAAGACACACCTGGTTGCTGGTACTCCCAGGGAACAGTTATTAGAGTAATTTCCTTTAGTCCTTATTCATTCTTCCAGTTGCGCCCTGTGGTTCAACACCTGGGAAGGTGACTCAGCATCCGAGCTTCCTTTTTATGCAATCTGCCTTTTTCAGGAGATCTTCTTGGCTCGAAGTTGGAGGTGGCTCTTGAGCGCACTGCAAACAAAGATTTTTTTCAGAGAAAAAGAAAAAAACTGAATAATCAAAGCTTTTGTCATAGCCCAAGGATACGTAGTCAGGAAAATTAAAGAGGAAAAGCCTAAGGAGCACTGGATGGGTCACAAAAGTAAGGGGAAATGGGGTATTCTCAGGGAGAAGCAAAGTCTTTGGTGGAGAATCCACCATCACCTGTCGCAGGGTCTTCTTTGGACCATCCATGAAGTTGACCACAGATGCCAGCACATGGGGTTGGGGGACCCCATCTGGAGGATCTGTTAACACAGGGACAGTGGACCCAGCGGAATTAAAAAAAATTCCTCCAATTGGAGAGAACTGAAGTTTCACAGATCCATGCACGACTTTTAGAACAGAGTCAGGGGTCAGCACCTACAGATACTCTCAGACAACGCTACAGCTGTAGCTTACATCAACAAAGAAGGAAGTACCAGAAGTCACCTTCTACAGCCTGTGGCAAAATAAATTTTTTCTTGGACAGAAATAGATCTGGCCTCCTTGACAGCGATCAACCTCAAGGGTACACAGAACATTTTGGCAAATTTTCTCAGTCGCCACCGTGTTCTCCAGGAAGAGTGGAGTTTAAATCCAGAGGTATTCTCTCTCACGACAGAAAGATGGGGATACCCTGAAGTGGATCTCTTGTTTCTGTAAGAGTAGAGAGAAACTTACCTTTCCATCGCCCCGAACACGGAGGGTAGCTCCGCCGACGTCACAACTCTCCTCCCTCCTAGTCAGTTTAAGCCGACAGTTTCACTTCTACGATGTTCCTGCAATGAACACACGCGCCGAACAAAGCAGCTGAACCAACATTGTCCATCCTGAAGTAGTGACACTCAGCCTGCATGCCTCTCTCCATGTCGTACTTCTAAGCGGGCTGGATGATCTCTCTCCCATCCAGGACTTCATAATCAGTAGCAGTTACTTTTTGTGAAAAACCTAATATTAAGGAAGAATTCTTTCATCGATTGGATGTCAGACACTGTCTTTTTGCTGGGATCCACCAAGAGTTTTTGTAGAACCAACACGTTGTTTGTCCTGTTTTTCAGGCAAACTAAAAGGTAATCAGGCTTCTAAATCTTACATTGCCAGATGGATTAAGCAAGTCGTCTGTGACCTTATTGCTCTATGCAGACTCCTTCACCTGCTTTTGTTAATGCCCATTCCACCAGGACCTTGGCAGCATCCTGGTTTAAAAGGGCTGGTGCCACACCAGAACAGATTTGCAAGGCAGCTACTTGATCAAACTTTTCCACCTTTTGTTCGACATTATCGCCTGGATCTTCTGTGTAGCCAAGAGCAGGCCTTTTGGAAGGAAAGTTCTTCAAGCTGTGGCCACTCCCTAATCTGGCAAGTCCTTGTGTTTCCTCTCCCATGCAGTCCTGGAAGATGACTAGGGGAAAACCGGAGTTAGACTTGCTGGTAATTATAATTCCAGTAGTCTTCCAGAACAGCAGGATTTCCGCCCTTCTTTGGCATTTTTTTATGTTTTTGTTGTATTCTGTTGTTTTGCAGTTCTGTCCTTTTGGTTTTCTTGTATTATCAGAGGAGAATGGCTGGAGACGGCTTTTTAACATCAGACAGGAAACACATTACCAGAATAGAAGGGGGAGTTTCCATCTCTCACATGCTGTCCTGGAAGACTACTGGAAATAAAGTAATAAAGTTACCGGTAAGTAACTCCCAGTTTTAATTTTTTAGGATTTTTTTTCAAAACAAATTTTGTTTGGGGGCTGGAGGACTAGCAGTAAAGCAGACTTCTATTTTTTTTAATGGAAGGTCCACTTTTATTTTTTCAGGGGTTTTTGTACCCAATGGCAAAGGAAAGATTTGCTTGACACTTCCCTGAAACAGTTGGCTGGAGGTTGCTGTAGTCAATTCTCTTATGAAACTCAGTCACCCAATATTGCGGGATGTTCTCTCGGCAGAATTTCAGTTTTAGGAGCTAAGTGCTGGCACACTGCAAATGGGTTTCTTGTGGTTGTTTGGTACTGATTGTGTCTCTATGCAACTGCTGGCAAAAGTGTAGTCTGCAGTATTTAGCCTTTGAAGGCAGGTACCACTAAAAAAAAGGTAGCGGTAGTTGGTATCAGCGAGTACTTTAGCAAAAGTATCGGTACTCGGTCTGGAAGAAATGGTATTGGTGCATCCCTATCACCATTAAGAGAAAAAAAATAATCCTTACCCAAATCCACCGAGGAGCTCAGCCACCTCTCTGGCAGAAGTGATACAGCAAGTGCCTGCCACTATTTAAACAGGTACTCGCTTTATCCAGCTTCTGACAGGATAAGCAAAATGCGCAGCGGTCTTCCCCGCTATGCTAATAGTGCAACCTGTCAGAAGCTGGATACAGCATGTGCGCTGTTTCCAGCGACTGACAGGTTATGCAAAATGTGTTAAACAGGAAGGGGGGTGCCCGAATTTAGTCTTGCCTAGGGCAGCACGAAACCAAAATACACCACAGAGTGTAAGCATTGTTTACACCTCTGCTGTCTGTGCTCCTGAAGCATTTATCCTGGCTTCTGACACATAAAGCTCGAAATACATAGAATTACAGTGTGGGTTTCTGGAATCTCGTAAGTTTCCCTTGCTTGCCAGTTTGTCTATGCTTTAATATAAGGTGGTCTGTAAATATGGGACAAAACTACTCCTATACAAAACAACAGTGGACATTTGGGTGTTATGTATGAAAGCTCTAAAAGGGATGAGGTGAGTGAAAAGGGTAGTAATAAATGTAATATTCGGTATAGTCTTCAGTCTCTGACCACCTCCTGTAGAAGATTTGCAGTCCTTGACCATCTCCTGTACAATGGCCACAGTCCCTGATCATCTCCTCTAGAATGGCCACATTCTCTGACTATTTTTTATAGAATTTTTTTTTAAACGTTTACTAATATTATATTGTTATTTAATATCCAGCTCTACATTTGGGATCTCCTTGTGTTTGAGGGAACCATTTGTCTGTATAATGTTTATGGAGACCCAGGAGCTGGAATCTATAAGATACTAATAATTGCAACTCCGTTTCCCTTTTGTTTGTGAAATATTTTATAGAATTTCTGCAGTCCTTGACAATCCTTTTTTAACACTTTTCTTGCCACATCTATTTTTTTTTCTTGTATGTATGCAAAGCCTGCTGAAGCTAAGGACACACTATTGTGTTGTGGGAACTCAGGTTATGGTTTGGCGTGATGTTCATGTTCATTCTGAATTACAACCTAATGCATGTTGCGGATGCACCAATGTGCCTTGTGGTGCACTGCCAGAAATCATTGTGGTAAACTCCTGTTGATATCTAAGGCCACTTTCACACTGGCTGCTTAGACCTGATTGGAGTGGTATAGATCGAATTTCACCATTATGACAACTTTGGCTGTCTAGCTTCTTCCTCTATCCTGCGATGTTGAGAACGAAAACTGCCAGACCCCATGTTGGTCTATGGGGAGTCGGATGTAAATGGACATATGCCAGTTTACATCAGATTCCCCCGATCCAACACGGTCAACTCTGGCGGAGCAGAACTCTGTTCCTTTTTTTTCCCCCGGACCTGGCCAGAGCCAGGGCTAACCGAGTGACAATGGACGCGTCTGTTCAGAATCGGCTGTCCATAGACTAGCATTAAGGTGCCCATACACATGATCGCAAAGTGTATGGCAGGCGTGCAACCGTTTTTACTGTACGGTCGCACGTCTTTTGTCTAAGGAGCATGCTAGAAAACCAGTCGAAAATTATACGATTTTCAGCTAGTTTGTGGCATGCTCGGGAGACAAATGCCGAACGGGCCGGTGTGCACACGCGCACACTGCCCGTTCAGCATTGCGGTCATCGAAAGCCCGTCCATCAGCGGGACGGGCTTGCGATGATCGCAAGTGCGATCTGCCTGTCCAAGATGGGCAGATCGTAAGTTTTTTTAAATTACTTTACAACCATCGCAAGACTAATGTCTTGCGATGGTTGTAAACTGTATGGCCACCTTTAGGCATCTGATTGGGTTTGTCTGACAGGTAGACCCGATTCAAGCACACTTGTAAAAGAGACCTAAGGTTTTTTAACCCCCTATATCAGGGGTGGGCAACTCTGGCCCCCCCAGCTGTGCTTCTAACTACAAATCCCAGCATGCATTTGGGGAGACATGCCAGTAACTGTCAGTCTTGCTATGTCTCATGGGACTTGTAGTTCATGAACCTGTGTTCATAATACAATAACCAAACCGCTGGCAGATAAACAAAGCCTGCCTGTATGTAGTGAGTCAGAAAGCATGGTGTGTTGTAATAAACAGTGACTCGCCCTTACTTGGTATGCTGCTCATACACATTTCAGCTTGTCTTCCCTTGATAAAGGTCATATTTGTGAACCACCAAGCTACGGATTGATTTCCAATGTCTCACAAGACCCTAATAGCCACACACAGGACGTGAGCGCTGATTGGCCTCCCTTGCCTGTAACACACTAGCCTCACACCTATATCCCTCATCACCTCACACACTGCCATCCTGGCCCTGCTGATAAAGTTACATAAGATGAGTCACATGGCTCGGCTCGTGACTCCCCCCACCTTCGGTGGCAGAAGCCGGAAGCTGGCAGGGTCCGGAGTGACGTCACGCCCGGGTTGTGTGGCTGTCCGCTGGGGATCCATGGACTGGGCGACCGCAGGAGTTGATTGGCGAATGAGGAGCAGGCTGCGGCCAGAGAGCAGGTGATGGGTGTATGTGTGGAGAACAATGGGAAAGTTTGTTTGTCAAGTGTCATACTAGGGGGCTGCTTGCCTCATGGCTCCTGTGAGTGAATGAGGAAGGTGTGTGTAGCCGGAACTGCTGCTGTTCTTGAGGGGTGGTGGTGACATCCTCCAGGTACAGGGTGTACACAGGGGTCTGGGAGACAACGTTTTGGCCGTATCACAGTGCCCAGGGAACTGGGATTTCCAGGTGTCACTCTTTCTGGAGGGGCTTAGAACACCTGGCGTGATCTGGGCATACAACTACATCGTATTTACGAGTTAGGCTGGGTTCACACCTGGACGTTTTTCAGCACTGATCGAAGCAATGTAAAACGCTCAGCAAGTTGAATCCCTATGGGCATGGTTCCCACCTGGGCGTATCTCAGCTGTGGAAACGCGATGAAAAACGCCCTCCGCCCGAACTAGTACAGGAGCTTCTTTGGGGTGTTTTTCCATGCGTATCCATTGGTATTCCCGAGTGTGGCTCTGGGTTAACAAAGCGGTAACCCCGAGCCACACTCGGGAATACAGCGTAGGACTTGCCTTGTCCGCGATCCCCGCTGTGTCCTCCGGCCGCTGCCGACTTTCGTCCCTTGCAAGCGTCCGAGTCGCAAGGGGGCGGAATCGGCGGGAAGTTTAAAAAAAAAACCCCCGAAAATAAAGGAAAAAAAAAAATCATACCGCCAGGGAGGTATAAAAACGAGCGCCGAACGCGCGTTTCACTGAACGAAAAAATGTGCTGAAAAAACGTGCCTATAGTACGCTCAGGTGTGAACCCAGCCTTAAAGCTTCACACTGGAAGGGTTAACTGCATCTAGGGGTAAAGGAGTAAAGAACTAAAGTGTGATACTTTAAACTCAAAACACGTTAGGCCCCGTTCACACCAGGGTGATTCCCTAACGTGGATTTTTCTGCGCTGAAACTCCACCATTTAAAATCCCACACATTCCTACGGGGACCATTCACGCAAACGCTAGGAATCGCATGTTCCAATACGCGGTATTCTGCATTGCGCTGTATAATGTACTATTGCTGGGCTTTGTAGTCCTCTATACAGCGCAATGCAAAATACCAGCTATAGAGGAGTACAACAAATCCCAGCATTACATTATACACACAGTGTGTTTATAATCCTATGTATAATATAGAGCACAATGTACCATCAGCTATAGAAGAATACAAATCCCAGCAATACATTATAGAGCACCATGTGTGGGAAGTGCAGGCTTAGCTGAGCCGTCTTCCAGCAACTTGCTTCTGAGGTCGGGCCTGTCTGTCGGCGGCTGTCATCCACCCACACCTGCTCCTCCTTACTACTTCTCCCCACCTCCCTATGCCGATCTTGGATGCGGGCGGTGAGCGTGAGGCGGGGAGGAGGTGTGGCGCGCAGCGTTTGTGGAGCCGTGAACAGGACCAACTAATCGGAAGGCGATTAATCGATTTATTGAAACCGTTGACAACTTTTTCAATAATCGATTATATTCGATTTAGTCGATTAGTTGTTGCAGCCCTACTGCTGAATCACCCCTAAGGCACTCCCAGCCTGCAACTACGTGCTGATCTAATTGAGTGCCATGCGGTACCAATAGTTCTGAATTTTACATGAGGACAGCGAGGGCTCATTCACAACCCTCAGTGTTAGAGAGAAAAAGAGAGCGCTGGAGCCTGCCGGAATGAGGAATAAGGCATTACATTTTCTCTACTCCTACACCTAAAAGTTCAACTCCAGGGACAAAAAATTGTATCCGAATATATTCCTCAATAGCCACAAAGGATATAAATCCACTTTGTGCACCAAATGCCATTGTAAACCCAGATATTACCTTTTTTGTTGACGTTGGTGGACGTCATCTTCTTGCAGTAAATTCCCATTGACTTTCCTAGAGTTTATCTACCTCTGTCTCCTTGCTGGGAGAAGAGCCCCATAGACGTTAATGGGGATTGATTTACTGGTGCAGCCAGAAGAAGATGCCCAGCTCAGGATGTCAACAAACATGCGAGGCAGGGCCCATTGGAACTCTGTAAATACTCATCCCTGCAGGGGAAGGGAGGGATCGGTGACATCAGCTTAAAGAACAACTCTAGATAAAAATCAAAAACTTCCCTTTGCAGTTGGACTACCCCTGCATTGCAAGGGTTAAGTGCTTGTTTTGTCTAGGGGGCTAAGGTAAAGAAGATCTTATCAGCTGATCCTCAGTCCTGTGGTAATCAGAACTCATCTCTGTCCAACTCCACTTCATCTACGGAATGTCCCTTGGCATCCTCACGTCTAATGCAAGTCAATGGGCCTGCATAAGACATGATGACATCAGCAGTTCTTGGACCACCGGAACCTGGGGGGAGAAAAGGCTGCAGGAACTGGTCTAGTAGCCCTGGGGGAGCTGGCGGGACACAGAATCGGGTAAGTAAATCTGCTTTATTCGAGCCCCCTAGACTAAATGAGCACTTGGCAAGGGTAAGTTTGTTTTTTCCCCCAGAGTTCTTTTCTTTAAAGGGTCCTAAATGTTAAGTGCACTTGTCCTTTAATACAGCACTATTGTCCTCCTCCACTACCCTTGCCAACTATGACACTGTGCGGAGAATGAGACCCTCCATAAATTGCAGAAGAACAGGGGGGATCTCAGAAATGTGATCACCTCCATTTATTGTCCATTGAGCAGTTTTTGGTTGAACAGCATTTTGACTGCATGTTTAGTAGAGTATGTTAGCATTGCATGTGTCAGGGCTGTAAAACCCTGAGCTCACTACATTATGTATGGCTATCTATACTTTGTGGCCTTTTGGACTCAGTGACTGCAGTCAGGTTCTCAGAGGCTATAACAGCTCGTCCTTTTAGGTACAGGATATATAACAGCTTCTTTAGCTTCACAAGATCGTCTCTGTCTTGGTCCTAGGAGAAACACCTTCCATTAGTGTAATTGACCCTTAATGGCAGTAAAACAATTTCAGGATTTTTTCTTATTATTATTTTTCCTGCTTGTGTGTATTAATGTCTCTGACGCTGAGGGAGTACTTTCTTAATTAGTCATGTATGTTGCTGCGGCACTCCCTGGGGCATTAGTGCACTTCCAGTAGCCGCCTTCATATAATTAGTCTCTTTGCTACAAGAAGCAGCAGCATTGTTTTGCTGTGTCACATCTTGATAACATATGTGAGGATTGCTTCCCCATGAGCCTAAATGATTAGTGTTTATACAGCGCTTCCTTTCTATAACTTTTATTCCACAAAGTTATTTATTTATTCCACAAAATTCCACACTTCTCTCCTGTAAGTAATGACTGCAATACTGATATAAGCTTATATCTGTTATTATTTTGCAATTGTTGGGGGTTTATGTGCTCATGAAAGACTTCAAATGTTGGCACTTTAACGTGCCCATTCTCCCTTCCACAATGTCATAGATGTAGATCAGTTTATCGCAAGATCTTGGTGAAGAACAAGTGTCTTTTTGCACCAATACATAATGGGGCTTATATATAAATGTTCTGCCTAGCATATATCTGGGTGGATGCCGTTTGTTCCGCAGTAGTGCTCCTAGTTGATTAAAGGCGTATAGGAAATTCATATGCACCTCAGTGCCATCTAGTGGTGATAGTGCCATGCAGATAACACTTTAGGGACATACAGACAGTTAGGGGAGACAGAGCCTCACCTAGTATTATGGAGGAAAAAGCTGTCGGCTTCAAGTCTAAAGCTGACAGCTTTTTCTCCATTCAGATCAGCTTCTAGTATGTTACAAAGCAGGGAAAGCCTCCCCGCTGAATAACCTGTCATGGACGGAGCATTGCCAGTTAATTACAGGCAGTGCTGCATCCGGCTTTTGACAGCTAAGTTAGGTTACACCGCAGCTGGCTTCCCCACAATGTGACACCACCATTGCCTGCTGGACACAATGCATTAGGAGCTATGCAGTCTTGATTGCATAGCAGCAGGGAAGGAGATGCAAAGTACACTGGGAATCCAGGAAGTTGAAAGTGATGGGCAGAGAGAAGGCGGCATGTATTCCTATTATAATTCTGATGTTATAACAGGATAGTATATGCTGGGACTGAATCCTTTAAAGTCTGGATTCTGCATCACTATATGTTTCCAGTAATTCAGGTTTATGGTTATTTTAAATGAAGCGTGAGCCAAAGCTTTTATCTTTTGTTTTAAATAACATGGGGAAGGCGTAGTTCCTCTTTTGGGTTTACTGACGGTCTCAGCCAACATTGTGAACGGGGTCCTTGGCACTGTGACTACCATTGGCATTCTATGTTTCTCATCTCTGGAGTATATTTCTAGTTGATTGTTGGCATTTATATGTAAGAGTTTGTCTGTCATTGAAGAGACTTTGTAGCTTCTCGCGTATACAGGGCAGAGTGCTCTCAGATGTCACAGTTTAGACGCAAGCAGACTGTTTTCCCTCTAGGGTTACTTAGAAGTCTTGTTTGTGAATAATAGATGTTTAGTATAATTTATTACTTTCATAATAAATACTCTGTACTTTTACAACCAACCCTTCTGCAAGTGCAGTTATTGTGTAGTCATTACTTAGTATGGTTTTTAGTTTTACTTTTGCAGTGTAATAGAATATGCTTTGTATCTTCAATAGCTGTGAACCTTCCAATGATGGGCAGCTTTTTCACATTGTGTCTTGCATAATTTAGAACACCAAATGATCCCATATTCTGTGACAACAACAGATCTATCCTGCACTGAAAGAGACACAGTACTATATGAATATTATGATTGAAATATAAACTCTGGGCAGCAATAAAACCTACAAAAATTATGCGTTTTTATATTTATTAAAAAGTCATGAAATTTATTTTCAATATGACCGTTGTTGAGCACATGAATCTGTTTTCATAGTGGCCTCCTGGGTGGGTAGCACTGAGAGGCAGCCATGTTGTGCTGCCACGAGGACAGAGCTGAGGGATGACCTCATCAGTGTCCAGCTAAGTAGGGGGTGTTTTTAGCAGTGTTTTTTAATAAGTTGTACAGTAACTGTAGAGGTGAACGACCTGGATGTAGGTGATGATGGTAGCATTGTGTAGCTCAAACTGGCTGCACAGATTTTCAAATCCTTTGGCAGTTTGCTTTTAAGTATTTGTCTATTAAGCTATTTTCCTGGAGTTCATCTTTAACCTAATTATCAACCTAGTAATCTCTTGATAGATGTAAAAGCCCTTCTATGCTCATCCTGTTTAGCAGTTCTTTCTTCTGTTTTCAATTACATGTTATGTCTTTCTAATAAAACTCCCTTTTCCTTTAGTGTCTGTCACGTGTATGGGTATGCTCCTAAAGGGAACCTGGACTGTAGAAGCTGTGCCCAAAAAAGGCATGCAAGAGGGCAAAGGACTAGCACCAGTAACTTTTTCTTTCTTATTTTTGTATGTTTGCTCAAATTGGAGGTGTTGGGGTTCCCAGGCAATTGACAAGTACAGTACAATCCACTGCATATGAGATTGTTCTTGCCTTATTTTAACTAGTCACTGGTATTACCTAATGGGTCCCTGAAAATGATATTTTCCCCATCACTGAGTTGCCATGCCATACTGTGTCTTTGTGTGGAGGTGGTCATCTTGCTGGAGGAAAAGGTTTTGCTTTCACATGTTAGACCTGCCCTCTAATGACTGGTGGGGTAAAGGTCAAGAATCAGTAGGAGAGGTGCAGGAAGATCTCTGCCCTCTAATGACTGGTGGGGTAAAGGTCAAGAATCAGTAGGAGAGGTGCAGGAAGATCTCTGCCCTCTAATGACTGGTGGGGTAAAGGTCAAGAATCAGTAGGAGAGGTGCAGGAAGATCTCTGCCCTCTAATGACTGGTGGGGTAAAGGTCAAGAATCAGTAGTAGAGGTGCAGGAAGATCTCTGCCTTTCGGAAGACTTGATAAATGAAGCCTAGCGCAGTGTACAGTGCTCGGGGTCTTATATGAGAAAACTCTATAATGTGTTCTCACTGGAAGGTTTGAGTTTGAGAGAACTTTGTTACTGTGTATTCTATTTTTCTCATAAAATCCCTTCAACTGTTGCCATAGTGTAAGACTAACATAACATGAGCGCTTTCCATTTGAATGTGTGGACATTATTATGGTGATAAAACACAACACAAGAGCTCTTTGAGTGTGTTTGCTGCCAAGAGTTATTGTTACCTAGAAATATAATAGAAAAGTCAGCAGCATGCTGGCACTGATCTTTGTAGGCGGACTTGGACTGGAGTGGTTTGGTTCTGAATAAATATGGCCTCATTCTTTAAAACCCTTAGCAGTCAATGATTAGTATTTATTGATCAGACTTTAATAAAATGGAATCTAGTGGCTGTATGTTACATCTTTATTCAATATTACAGGTTCCCAGCTGTCTGTGTCCACTTCTGTTTTTCTAGTGCATATTTTATTGTGTGTTGTAGCACATTTTCACATGTGTTATTTTTGTAATGTGGTTTCAGGTCCTTTTTTGGTTTGGCCAGTATGGATTTCCTGCTGTGACATTGTTGTGGACATCTGCAGCAGCCTTCTGCATACAATAGAATGCAAATGTATTCTATTTTTATTTACAAAAAAACCTTATATATAACACACATCACATCACATCACATCACATCACATCACATCACATCACTATACCGGGGTTGAGCTTGTTACCAGGGGCTGGCAGCACATTAAAACCTGCTACTGTATATGTGTGCATTCATGCTTTGCCATAGACTTATGTGGACCTCACAGAGCATGAACATGCAAAGAAAAAGGACACTTCATTTTTTCAAAACCCAACACAACTCATAGATATGAAGAGGTTTTTTGGTTAGTATGTTCCTGTGACACATGCATTGTGTTGCATTCAGAAGCACAGGGAGTTTTCTTTCCCCCACTGTTTAGTGTAGAAGGGAATGTTCAGGATATACTGGAACCTGCTATTCTTCTACAACACCATTCAGCGTCTTCTAGGGCTGCAACAACTAATCGACATAATCGACATAATCGATTATAATCGATTATTGAAAAAGTTGTCAACTTTTTCAATAATCGATTAATCGGCTTCCGATCAGTTGGCCCTGTTCATGGCTTCACTGATGTCAGAAGCAAGTTGCTGGAAGACTGCACTTTCCCACACATGGTGCTCTATAATGTATTGCTGGGATAGTGGAAGTTGTCTTCCTCTATAGCTGATGGTACATTGTATATGTACCATCAGCTATAGAGGACTACAAATCCCAGCAATACGTTATACACTGTACGTATAATGTATTGCTGGGATTTGTTGTACTCCTCTATAGTTGGTGATATTCTGCACTGCGCTGTATAGAGGACTACAAATCCCATCAATAATACATTATACAGCGCAATGCGGAATACCACCAGCTATAGAGGAGTACAACAAATCCCAGCAATAATACATTATACAGTGGTGTAATGCCGAATACCACCAGCTATAGATGACTACAAAACCCAGCAATAGTACATTATACAGCACAATGCAGAATACCACTAGCTATAGAGGACTACAAAACCCAGCAACAGTACATTATACAGCGCAATGCAGAATACCGCCAGCTATAGAGGAATACAACAAATCTCAGCAATAGTACATTATAGCTGGCGGTATTCTGCATTGCACTGTGTATTGTATTATTGCTGGGATTTGTAGTCCTCTATAGCCATTCTGCATTCATTGCTGTATAATTTTACACTTTCCATTTCACTATATTGCACACCACACTATTTTTTTTCTTTTTTACTTCCACCGCTCCGAGCTTTCTCCTGTGATGGACTACAACCTCAATACAAACTAGTAGTACCATCATTGGAGCCATTTTTAAAAATGTATTTTATTGTTTATCCGATTAACCGATTAATCGAACTTAATAATCGGCTAACTAATCGATTTTGAAAATAATCGTTAGCTGCAGCTCTAGCGTCTTCTACCTTCTGGTTGGAGCTGATGAATAATACAACTGGGCGTATTAACAAGGATTGCAGTTCAGTTTCCCAGCCTATTTTGACAGTAATGCCAAAAGATTGTGGGAGGTATATACAAGGTCACCAAACTGATAGATTCCTGCAGTCATTAGTTAGCCTTCACCGCACGTTCTGACCTGTGTTTTTTTTTTTTTTTACTGTAGGAATTTCCTAATAGCATAAACTCCAAAGAAACCCATATATGTATATCAGATGGGTATTTGAGAATTGTTTTACCTGCCAAAAGACTTGTGAATCAGGTCTTGCACTTCCTTAGGCTGCCCATACACCTTGCGATCATGGGACGACACTTTTCGTCCGATGATCGAACCGTCATACGATTTTCGTACGGCGGCCCCATCCTGCCCCGATTTATCGCAAGGTTGGATTAGCGGTAATTAAAAGAAAGCACCTGGGCGAATTGCGGTAATCGACCGCACGTATTTTCGTCTGCGCATGTGTAGTGTAGATTGTACGAATTTTGCCGTACGGAAATGCCACCAACCTTGCGAAAATCGTACGATCGACCAAAGTTTTCTAACCTGCTGGTTAGTCAAAAGTCGATCGATTGCACAGTATTTGCGGTTGTACACTGCCCATCAACCTTACGAATATCGGACGAAAATCAGCCAATATTCGTAAGGTGTATGGGCACTTTTAGACCTTTATGCTGACTGAACTGCAGCTGAAAAATATAGCCTGACCTTGGACCCCTCCCAGCCCTTGATTGGATGGTGAAGGAGCTTCTGATGCACGAGATCATCAATCTGCTTTCTCTTCGTTTAGAACCTCCTCAGTAATATACGGACAGTACTGTGCAGTGCAGCAGATACTTAAATGCTTCCAGTGTTGTCCCTCCAGAGTGCCTGTTCACACGACGTCCGTTTTGTGTGCTGACCTGATCCGTACGCTGCTGCACTCAAAATACATCCCAATGTATCCCTATGTGTTTTATGGGCTACAGTTCTCACGTGCGCAGTCCGTTCAGGTTAAGACAGAAAAATACTGCATGTCACATTTTGTACGGTCAGGAAACGCAAACGCGTCAAAAATGCACTGCAGCTAACATACTAACAGCCCCACTCCAGCAAAAAAAGATATATATATTTTTTTTTACTGGAACGCATCAAAATTGCGGCCAAAACGCACTGCATCAGTAGCACCGCGTCTGCAGATCCGGACCTGATCAGTACCTGAAACTCATGTGAACAGGCCCTAAGTGCTGCTTTACAGGTGAATACAGGAGGCCATTAGCTGGAGACAGTGAAGTATTTTTACACACTGCTTTAAAGCTGAAATAAAAAGCCAGAGGACAATTAAAAGTGCACATAATTGCACATTAGGGCACATTTACCTTACAAGTGTGTCCTTCTTGCCACTGACACTTCTAGGTTCTCAGAAGTCCTCTTCGGCCATTTGCAGGCAAACGCCTTGTTTGCCTCGCGGCAGATACGCCTCTGCATACAGTATGCTCAGAAGATGGAAAAAAATGCTGGGGAAAGAGGAAGACATTTTTTGACGGAAGAGATTTTGAATGTTTCTTTTGCCAAAGATCCTCACCTCTCAGCAAGTTTTTTTTTTTTTCTGACTATGTGCAGCTGAAGCATATGTGGTGCTTTCCTAACAGTATGTAGTATTGCTAGCCCTAGTCTTGGGCTTATTGGCCTGTAATTATATGGTGTGGACTGCTATTTGTGATAACCTTTTAGCTGATGTATGAAACGTGTTTTAGAAGGAAGCTTTTTGTTAGCCATAGTATCCAATCGTTGTCCAATTGGTTGTTACAGGCAACTATCTTTTTCTCTTATCGTTCATTGCAGGACACGGCTCATTCAGAAAACCAGCAGTTGTTTTTGTGGTGTTTTTTGTTGTTTTTTACCAAAAATGAATACTTTTTACTTTTCTTTTTACTTACAGATGTAACAGTAGATTCCTCCTAAGATATCGTATTCTATCAATGTATCCGGGTCTGTAGCACAGACACCAATGTGACTGGATCAACAGCAATTCAAGATGAGCCAAGACAAGGGACAATATGACTTTTATATTGGGCTCATATTGGCGATCAGTTCCAGTTTTTTCATTGGAGGAAGCTTCATATTAAAAAAGAAAGGACTTCTTCGGCTGGCTAGAAAGGGCTCTATGAGAGCAGGTATACAGCTTTAATAGTGTACACAAGGCATCCATATTTACAACTGCTATATATACACACAATGCATTATTGACTTTTTTAACCTGTTAGATACAAATTTCCTTTCCTAGGTTAAACTCGTTGGTGCCGTTAAAATACAGGCCAAAGCTGCCTTTATAGAAAACTTAACATCATTTCTAACATATATTCTTTAAATGTTCAGTGGTTGGTGCCATTATACAAGTTGTGATATGTGCAGATGTATAAGGATACTTTATATTATCATTTCAGTGTATTACCATTCTAAGGAGGAACGTATCACATCTATACTAACATATTATTCTTGTTTTATCATTGCCTGTAGGCCAAGGAGGTCATGCTTACCTTAAAGAATGGCTGTGGTGGGCTGGACTTCTCTCAAGTAGGTATTTTAGTGGATAGGGCTACTTTTCTCCTACATGCAGACTTAAGTTTTGGTAAAAACTTTATATATTTCTAAGTGTTTAGAACTCGTATCAGTCCAGCAGACATCTGCCCTGTGCAAATGCCATTGAATTTATCTTGCTTATAAACATAGAAAGGAAGGTTGTTTTTGTTTTGTTTTGGAAGCATTACATTTAAGTTAACGCTTTCCATTGTAAGGTTTAACTAATCACCTGCCTAATATCAAATTGTTAAGGTACAACCAGTGCATTGGAAGTGTAGACAAAATGCTTTCTCCCTACATGCACAGCGCTCCTGAGCCTGTCTCCCTTTGCTTTTCCAGCAGCAGCCAGTTCTCCATGAGAACATTGTCTGCTGAAGGGTGGCTTATTCATGCTTCCTCCACACATAATGCATGGACCAGCAAAGAAGCCACCGTGTCCCTTTTGATGTTACTCTCTCCCCTGACTATAACAAATGTAATATACATGGCTGTATCCAGTCTTGACAAATGTCTAGCTGGAAACAACTTTGTGGAAATGCAGCAGTCAGAAAAAGGAGGGTGACATTAGCAGCTAAAGTGGGGAATGGTGGGTTGTGGGAGCAATGGAGGAAGCTCCTGCAGGAAGCCGTTCTTAATGAGTTGCTGCACTGATGACAATTTTACAATTTGGGAAGTA